TTAAATCCCATTAAATTTTTAATAGTCGAAATTACCTTTCAAATAATAATTATTCATCATTTATGATTATCTATAAAGACATATGATGATTTGATATTTATTTTGATTTTTAAACTTTAAAACGACAACTTTCAAATTAAAAAAAAAAAATTTATGTGCAAAAAAAAAGAACTTTTTTTTTTGAAAAAATTGAAAAAACTAAATTATTGTTTTGTGCAAAACTGAAAATTTTGTGTCTGTAAAGGAATATGATGATGGAACATTGATGTGCAAAATTAAAAAATAAAATAAAAAAAAATAGTAATTAAAAATGGAAAATTTGAAAATGTTCTTAGTTTTAAAATTGGAAAAAACTGATAATGTTCTCGATCTTATTAGATAGTTGAATCAAACCAATAAATAGATGGGCAAAAACGTTTAATCCAATACTCTATTTTTTTTCCATCAGTTAGTAAAACAATTATCTAGAATATTACCATACAAAATTCATAATGTTCATAGTTTTAAAAATTGAGAAAACCTAATAATATTCTTAATTTTATTAAATAGGACCTGAGCTACTGTAATATTTGTAAACAAAACTTTTAGGTAAGTAACTATTATTAAAATTAGAATGGTCTAATGATCATAAATAAGTGATTCTAATAAATGACAAGTATAATTTTTAAAACAAATTGTTATTTTATGATAAAATCGTTTATTTGTAAAAAAAATTACTAGGAGACCAATTTCAATCGTTAGGGAGTCATTACTAAAAGTTCATCCTTAAATTAAAAATAAATAAATAAATAAATAACTTTTAGTGACAATTTTTTAAAATGTTACTAATAATTGCATTTTTAGTAGAAAAAAATAATTTTGTGCTAAATATGTTTACTTTTGTAGATAAAAATTTTGTTACAAAAAAAATAATAATTCAACATTAAATGTCTAATCTAGTTTCTAAGATATTTCATTTTTAAGAAGTGATTTTATTACTAAATTTTTTATCTCTAAAATCTTAATTTGTTATTTAATTTTTTTCACAAATAATTTATATACAGTTAACTTACAAAATGAACCAATCAAATCATTAACATGAGAAAACATGGTAGGTACACGGGCCTAAAATTCACCCACCGTGTCTACACTGTAAATTAGAGACAAACCATCTTAAAAAGGAAAGTTCCATACATTCTAATGATTGATATGGGATTAAACAAGATACGCGGGAGTATCTTCAATGGGCTATTTAAAAGAAGCTTGTTAGTTATTATACTTAGTTCTCGTTTGGAAATATATTATTTTAATAATTTTTTAGATTTTTAATTAAAATATGAGAAAAAAAATTAATATATTTAGAATAATTTTTTAATTTTTTACGAAAAGATGTGTAAAAAATAGATATCAAAATAAATTTTTGACTTTTTAGTATAGATTATAAGTTTTTTGGCTTTTTTCGTAATTTTTTTACTTTTTGACTAAAATGTTAACTTGCCAAACAAGACCTTAATTTCATCATTTTTCACTCTTTTTAACGGGCTAATTACTATAATAGTCATTTTAATAAGATTTCAAAGTTAGTTGCAACAGTTCCCTTTGGGAAGAACTAAAATGGGTTTTTTTGGCTATTTTAGTCACAAAAGACAAAATAGGCTATTTTAGCCACAAAAAACAAAATATCACATCCAACCCATAATCATTACACTCTTCTCTCACAAAAAAAGTCATAAAAGTCAAAAAGCCAAAAAGCCCTCCCCAAACCAAGCTTTTTAGCCCAGGCTAAAATAGCCAATAAAGTCAAAAAGTCAAAAAGCCAACCCACTTTCCAAACGGAGGCTTAAACTAATTTGTGTGGATAAATATAATAAATAAATAGTAGTGTTAGAGTACATAGTGTCATTTTGGGGACATGGTAAAAAGCCACGTTTTTGGACAAAATGTCTAAAAACGTGGCTGCCAAAAACGCCAGAAAGCCCATTTGGTAAGTGCCAAAAACGCAGTCGTAAAATTACAAATTAGGGCCTATGAAAAAAAAATAAAAAAATAAATCTCTTATGTTGGGTAAGGGTATTTTGGTCATTTTAATTTGATTTGACACCATAAATAAATATTAAACTAAAAAGTAAAAAGCTAACTTTTTACTAACTTCCCAAATCATTTCTAAAAATGCCAAAAAAACTTGGTAAAAAATCAAAAATCAACTTTTTACCAACTTCTCAAAACAACTCATAGATAAAAAGTTAGTTAGGTAAAACAAGGAGTATGTATTTTTCATCATTTAGTTAGTGAAAAAAATAAAAAGTAGCATTGGAGTTACTCCGGGGGAAAAAAATCCAAACAATTACCTAAAATTTAAAATTAACGGTCACAATTTGGCCTCACAATAACAAACTTAAATGCACAATATTAATGAAAAATTCATGATAATTATCTAGGTGTTTTACTAGTTTTGGCACAATAAATTTGTAATTTTATTATTTATTATTTATATAATTATAGAACATGTGACATCCATCTACTCATTTGGAGGTTATGAGAAGTTATGAAATGTGAAAAGATAATAGAGAATAAAGTGAAAAACATGGAGCATGAAGTAGAGATTGAAAAAAGTTATGGAAGATCATGGAGTATAAAATAGAGGAGGTAGAAGAGTGGGTAGTTTTAGATAGTTTTTTCCTACAAATATTTGCTTATAAATAGTCATTGATGGTTACATTGTAAAATATCCAGAATTTAAATTAAAGACAATTGATTTATATTTTTCTTGTCATTTATATTTCCTGCTCTTAATTTTTTACATTTTATTTTACGCACTTCCTTTTCGAAGCATTTATTTTTTACACTTCCTTTTCGAAGCATAGGAGTAGAGATAAATTAATGGTTATTTCGATTATTCTCTCAATCATCTTTCTCCATCTCCCTCTCTTCTTTTAATTTTTCTTTTCTCTACACTTGGCAATTTTGAAATACTCTTTATTGAGACAAAAGAACCGTCAACATAATCGCTTGATAATTGACTTGAATTTAATCTGTAATGATTTTTTAATTCTTACTGATACGCTCGTATTTATGATATTTTCTTTCATAGGCAAAATAAACCAACAATTAGTAACCATAAATTTTCCTCAGAAAAATTGTGCATGATCAAGTTCTTGATTGTTTAGAATGAACTACTAGCAAACTATATTCTCATTGTTTTTTTCCATATTCCATATAGCTTCCTTTTTCTTCTTTCTTTCTTTTTTTTGACCAAGCATTTGATTCATCTAAAATGACTTTCCAACAAGAGGCTTCAATAGGCAAAACACAGACCAAAGCAATCTCTTGCTTTTTCCTTTTTCTTCCTCTTTTTATTTTATAGGACTTTTCCCAACAGTTTTCAATAGGCGAAGCACAAATCAAACAAGTGCTTTTTCTATATAGTCCTCCAAATACTATGTTTGGATTACTTTGTCTTCCTTATATAACAATGTTTCATCTACCAAATTTTGGCTTATTGAAATTACTTAAATTTGTGCATGTTGATCGTTCAACCAATCATTTGGGCATTCGTCCGGCCGGTTATCCGAACGAATATCGGTTGACACACCAAATGACAAGAGTGACAATCACAATTGACAAATGTGACACCAGTCATCTAAATACGTCATTCGAACAAAGTCAGACTCCCTCTATTTTGGTTGACTAAGCATTTTTCTTCGTCACAAATCAAAGTTCTCAAAACATCCAAAGGCAAATAATAGACTGGAGATTTTGGCTCATAATTACCAATTCTTCTCCTTTTTTTTCTTTTTTTCTTTTTTCTTTTTCTAATCAACAAAACATATAACTTTTGTTAATGCAAAAATGAAGTACAAAAAAAAGTACCTGAACATGAAGGAAATACATCAATAAAACAGAAGGCGAAGAACAGAAAAGTTGGGCAAGGCACCAATTCTCCTATGTTCAGTGACATTAAACTGTACCCTAATTGCCAATTTTGAAGTCTTGGGATCTCTGTGTCAAATACTACACTCCCAGTAGAAAAGAATTTAAAAATTTACATTTGTAGACTATATATTTATTTTAAGTGTGACTTACATTCTATCAATTTCAAATTTACATCACATACTACATAGTAAGAGAATAATTTTAGAGAATGACTATTTATCACTTAACATTTTTATAGTTATACATTACTAAAGTAATATTATTGATTTCCATTAATTTTTTAATGATTGTAGTCAAATAAGAAAATCAATTATACATATTAATTTTTAAAATTTTAAGATAAAATTCATTTTTGCCATAATAAAACTCAAACCTCAGGTCATTGAAGAGTGGAATAAATAAGAACCATCCTCATGCCCCGTTTATTTTGGGTTATAGGGAGGAGATTGAGATTTATAGTGAGGTAGAACCCACTAATATCATGTTTGTTTTGAGAGATAGAGAGGGGAATCGTAATCCCCTCCGGACTACGAATCCCCTTGGGGAGGGGATTAGGATAGGTTTGTAGGACTTGATATTAGAAAAATAGTCCGGCGGACTAGAAAATTTTTATTTTTATTTATTTATTTTTTATTTTTTTAAATTTTTTTACATATTAGGCATTTTTTTTAAAACATTAATATTTAATATTTTTGTATTTGTTTTATTATTTTTATAAAAATAATTTAACAATTCCCACACTAACAATTATCATCAAAATAAATATAATTTTACTTAATCTCTTCACTATCAATTCTCTCACTATCAATCCTCTTCATTTTATTTCTGAAAACAAACGGCCCTAAAAATTCTGTCCATAAATATATTACCTCAGAAATCCACAAATCTGACGTGGACATGACCTCTTCCTCTCACTCAAATTTTAGACAAATTCAAACCTCCATAAAAGTACGAAACCGGCCCAGCCTTAAAAAAATATTTGCAACTGGCCAATAATATACATAACACCCCCTTTAAATATAATAATTACTTATATTCCCCATTTTTTTTTTATTATAAAATCCTATATATGTTCCATTGACTTCCCGTGTTTAAATACTTCATTTCATCTCATATATTTTCTGGGTTTCCACCATTACCAGGACCATTCCTCTCTCTCTCTCTCTCTCTCTCATCATTGACTTATTCATCATGGACCAGCCGGACTTCAACTCCGGCAAGTCGCCGAGAAGAGAGCTGCAAGGCCCCCGACCCACCCCTCTAAAAGTCCGAAAAGACTCTCACAAGATCAGAAAACCACCGGTGGCGCCGCAGCAACAGCCGTCTCAGCCACCGCAACCCCACCACCACCACCACCACCACCACCAAACGCACCCCCGCATTATATACACAGTCTCCCCAAAAGTGATCCACACAGACCCAAGTGAGTTCATGACACTGGTTCAACGCCTCACCGGCTCATCTTCCACAACCACATGTTCTTCCTCTTCAATTACTTCTTCTTCTTCTTACTTTTCCGATCACGCTAACGGAGCAATATCTCCGGCGGCTCGCTTCGCTTCCACAGAGAAGACAAAGTCGCCGGAGAAGAAGAAACAACAACATCAACAGCAACAAGAAGAGAGTAGTGATATGGGTATGATTGAAGGGGTAGAGATAAGCACAGAGGTAGAGAGAACTGGGTTTTTTCCGGGGATATTATCGCCTGGTCCGGCGGCTCTTCCACCGATTCCGGCGAACTTCTTCTCTCCACCGTCTGATCCGAATCCTATGAGTTTCTTATATGATTTTAGCCCTGTATTACAAGGTAATAACAAGAATTACTTAGAGGGTAGTTCTAGTTTCATGATGCCTAGTCCTTCATTCTTTCTCTCACCTCATATAACTTCCCCAACTACTCCATCTCTAGACATTTTCAACAATTTCTTTGACTTTCAGTTTTAATTTTAATTTTAACCCCCCCTTTCTTTTTTTTGTTTTAGAGACTGGCCTGGTTTTATTTTTCTGTATTTACAATGTTGATCATGATGGTATGATTGAGGGACAAAATGAGAAATTTCCTTTTCTTTTTTTTCTTTTTTTTTTTTCTCTGGTTTATTTGGGGTTGTGGTGGACAAGCTAGAGACTTCTTTCTTCTTAGGTTTTTCTTTCTATTTTTATTAAATTGGTGGGCCAAATGAAGAGGTAGTTTGGCTCAATTTCTTCCTCATCTTTGTAATACTCATCCCTAGCTTTCTTGTATACCATTTTTTGTCATATACTTGTGGCATGTAATTTGCAACATGGTACTAATTTCAATTTCCAATTTTTATTGGTCCCTTTCTCATTTAGAAAATTTTCCCCCTCCCCAATTTTAAAATAGAATTATTCATCAAAATGATGTAATATAGTGACGTCTTTTTTATTGGATTTTTTGTTTTAACTTACAACTTTATTATTTTATTTTGTATGTATTTTTTTTGTTTTTATTTGAAAAGGCTACATATATAAACAGATTTCTTAACTAATTTTCTTATCACTTGATATAAATGTAGCCGAATTTACATTAATAATACACATGAAACTCATAACTTTGTGTCTAATAATAAAAAAATTTGATAAAAAATTGTTTGTGTAGAGCATTACTCTTTTGTTTTACATGCCTATTAGCACAAATGTTTCTTTCCAACTTGTTGGAATGTTTAAAAATGGTGTTTGAATGTCATGCTATTTTGTTTGAAATGTTAGGACAGCAATGTAAAGCTAGTACGTGTGCAACATTTATTTTAAGTAGGTAGGAGTGGCTTTCAATGATGTCCTCTGTGATGCCTTTCTCAACTTTAAATTTAATGCAATTCAACAATACATTATAGAGTTTTGATTCACTGAAATTAGGGTTCCACCTTTGGAGTATCCTCAACCCAAAACCTTCATTAGAAGATGGATATATATTTTTTTATTCAAAAAGTGAATATACGACATTTTATTATTCACTCAAATTCTAATCACAAATCATCATTTTCTCTTTTAAGGAGATCTCTCCAAAATATTTTCATCAAAAAGTGAATAATTTTTGTTCATAAATAAATATTTAATTTTCAAATATTTGTTAAATATGTTTAATATTATACTCATTTTAAAGGTATGATTTCATTCTTTTTAATGATACCAATTTTATAAAAATTCAATTTATATATTAAAAGTTATTTGTAATATAATCAAAAGTATAAAATAAATAGTGTTTTGGAGGACATTTTCTATTTTTCATCATCCCTCTATATTTGGAGAATGAATCATCATCTTCTCAAATAGAGAAAGTTTTAGAGGAAGGATTGGAGTGCTCGGTCTCAGCAGTAAAATTGATGAAATCCTAGTTGTCAATTCAATAACTAAGTCTAGATTAGAGAGGAAAAATCGATAATTTTCTCTTGAATAGAGATTGTGGGTAGTTATTTTTTAAGTTAGCACAATTTAGACCTTTTAATTTTGAAAGAATGAGAATTCTCTAATTTCACAGAAGTTACAAATTCCAAATTGAGTAGATCCATATTGTGTGATGAAGACTAATTTTGTTTCTTCTTATAGTAATAATGATAATGATGTGAAAGACCAGTAATATGCCACTGTGTCTACTATAAACAAGTTTTGGTTTTGCAACTACTTCATACAAAGCCCAACAACAACACAAACATTGGTACACAAGTTTGAGCTACCTAAATTATGAAAATGTTTTTGGTACCGAATTTAGTTATCTATTTTTTCTCAGATATAAATGTGTCATGCATTGTTATTTTTAAAATTTATTGGAAGATTAAAGCATCGTTTGGGAATAGACTAATTTAGTAACTTTTTAGTTATTTGGCTAAAATATGAATTAAAAAAAACTAGTATGTTTGGGATGATTTTTTGACTTTTTACGAAAAGATATGCAAAAAGTAGAGGGAAAATTTTTTTTTTAACTTTTTAATATGAGTTGATTTTTTAATTTTTTAATGATTTTTTGACTTTTTAACTAAACGGATCGCTTCCCGATCGGCGCCTAACGTCGCCAAGCATCATGCAACATTTGTTGACTTCTGACTAACGTTGGGTGCCGACTAATGAGCCAAATGATCATGTTGCGATAGTCCATCTTACCCAATGAAATTATGCCAACTTGACTAACCTAGGTGCTAGTGAATTCAATCTATTTTTTCCAAACCCTAAAATGAATGTGTCTTTTATTGAAATAGAAAATGTATTATCAATAGGAAATCTATCATATTGGAGTCCAAATTTGTTCAATTATGTATTATCCTTATCATTTAGCAATGCAACTTATATTTTTATGAAAATGTAAACCTACTATTTGGGGACGGTTGTTGTAGAGATTAAATTATTTGACTATTTGATGAATACTTGACAAAAATGTTTTCAAAATCAAATTGAGTTTTTTTAAGAGTACTGTATCGAGGAAAACTCTATAAAATCAAAGGCATAATTTTTAAAAATAAAATATAAATAAATAATTGAGTTACTTTTGAGAACCAAAATCAAACCCGATTGACACAATTCACACCAATGTGATGGACTTTTATTAGTTTTTCAAAGTACACAATTAATGGCCCTCATTAGGGGGTAATACTAATAATGAAATATTTTAAATAGCGTGTTTGAATAATTAGACACATCTTTTGGGGACGGCGACGTCAAATAAAGGCGAATATGATACTGATAAATACTTGTATAGTGACAGGGGAGTGGTTATATTAAAAAACACGTTTGTGGAAAAAATCAGAGCAAGAAAGTTTAAAATTGGAGATTATATTATATTATGTGAGATTGCAATATTGTAATTATTGTAACCAAAGGTTTTGAGCATAGGCATGGCTTGAACTTGTTGGATTATTCCCAAAATTAATAATAATAATAATAATATTAATAATAATAATAGATAATATTTAGGATAACTTTCTATCAACCTAATACACGGAGCCGTGTAAGTTATAATTTAATAAAATGATTGATTTTATTTTAACAAATAATTAACTAGAGTTACGCAATCTTAAAATATACATTGAAATGATTAAATGTTCATACTTATTTTTATTCTCAACTTTTGTAATTTATACAGTTTTTTGTTTTTTATTTTTTAACAATGAGGAAAGGGGCATTTCTTATTCACACAAAATGGAATTACTTGGCCGGTATTTGGAAAAAGTCAAATCCATTACAGGCCGGAGGAGCCAGTTTTGCTTCGTTTCTGTTAATGTAAATGTAAATCACCTACTACACTCCACCAAACCTACCTCCACCACTCACTCCTATCACCTACTACACTCCACCAAACCTACCTCCACCACTCACTCCTCACCTACCTCCACCACTCACTGCTCACCTACTCCAGAATCATCTCCTATATAATAGGAATTCTTGTACAAAATCAAATACACAACAATCTTGTAATCAGATATCAATCAATAATACATCAATATTTTACATGGTATCAGAGCTAGGTTAACAACCTAGTCATTCTGCTTCACCGGCGGGCGGCAGCCTCGCCTTGGCCGCCCGCCGGACCTCTACACATACCCAGACTGTAACTTCATACTCACCAAAATATAATTTATAGTAGGCGTGTTCGCGCTTCTGTTTTGGACGGTTTGATTTGTAATTTGGATCTGCTCCGCATATGTGCGGTTTGAAAAAAATTGAACTTGCAACTACCCATAGTGCGGGTTGCGGTTTGTGCAGATAGGGTTCAAGAATGTGCGGGCGATTTGCAGATTAGATTTTTTTTCTTTAAAAATTTATTTTTGCTCTTTTTTTTCCATTTTGTAACTATTTATTTTGGGTCCTTTTCTCCTCATTATCTAAAATGCTCAATATTAATAATTAATTAATTAAAACATATAAAATTAAAAACATAACAAAATCAATTCCTACTAAAAGCAAATCATTCAAAATCCTAAACTTTTAAATAAAATCATAAACTAACACAAACACATCTTTCAAAATCTTAAGCTGAATCATCAAAATTATTCACTACCCAACAATACAATTGAAGTGAAATCATTCAAAATCATAAACTTACCTAAAAGTAATTCTTCATTAACTTTTACATTCATCCAAAATACAATAATAAAATAACAATAAATTGTTGTCAAATTTCTTCCAATTCAAACTTATTAAATAAAATAAAAACATTTATAAATTTGCAAACTCCATCTCATGAATGAAATCAACGTAAGGGTCCAAGTGTAGACAGGTTCTTGTGGGAGAGGGTAAAACCCGCAACCCGCCCGCAATCCGTAAGAATGTCATATTCTAAACCGCATCCGCCGACATTGTGTCTGCGAAACCACCTACTTATATGCTGATCGGTTCGAGTTGAGTGGGTTGAGTGGTTCGAATAACCCTATACGGAATCCTAATTTATAGTATAGGATTAGATTTCTTTCTAATCAAGTTTGGCATCATGGATCGATCACAAGTTTTATTTTGTTTATTTGTTTTATAATAATAAAATTATATGATTAGGATTATTAATTGATTTGATTTTTTATGAATTATGTACACCGAAAAGCCTAGAAAATAAATAACTCTAATTAGGAGAGTGTGTGAGACCCGTGTAGGGTTTGCGGGCTTAGAATATTGAATGTGTAAAATTCACTATATAGAGAAGTTTTACTCATATATATATATATATATATACTAGATTTAAAAATTATACTTACTTTTTAAATTTAATAATGTAGCAATCAATTATAATATCTAAAGCAATTCTCAATCTCATATCTTCTCTAATCATTAGCCAATAATTTCTCTTATAAATCACTAAATTTAAAAAGTAAGTTTGCATATCATTTTCTATATACCAGCTGTTGGTGCTTGCACAATGCATTTGCAATTGTGGATCTAAATTTTTGAGGATTTGATGAATGAGAAAGACATAAATTTGAAAACAATTTAGCAATTAGTAACTAGAGTTTTAGGCAGTTGACACTTTTTATGATCATTCTAGAACAACAAAAAAGAGTGACAAAACCTCAAGTTCTGAGTGGTATACTTTATATTATACACACATTTTTTTAAAAAATAAATAAATAAAAAATAGATCTCTAAATAAAATTAAACCAAAAAAAAAAAAAAAGTAAATAGACACCATATATATATTCCATAAAATGGCAGTGATGGATATGTTTGCCTAGTTTCATTTGAAAAAGATTATATACACTCTGATGGCATAATCATCAGTGGCTTGACTGGTTCAGGTTACAAACAAACGTGTGCTTTTTGAAATAACCTTTGAATCTCACGAAGAAGATCCATAAGCTGTTGAATGTTTCTCACATTTTTT